TGATCACAGAAGTCTTTTTTGCATCTCATAATGCCATCCATGACAAGCACTCTGACCCACCAAACACCCACATGGCAGGCCCTTCTCGTTACCAGAACTCTATTTTGTTTGGGCAGCAATGCAGCCTTCCCCAGAGGATGAATCACGATGGGTTTTACGGCCATCCTGACAATCCTGTCTCTTTGTGAAGGAGTCACTCTCCTGGCCTCCTTCTAGCCAGGACAGGCCACAACCATGTGATCCATTGCTGGCCAATGGGCAATAAGGGAAAGTCAGGTTGGAGGATTTGAGTCATTTTCTTTCCTGATAAAAGCGTCTTTGAACTTTTCTAGCTGCCCCATTTCTCACTTCTTGTGAGGTTGGTATAGGACAATGCCATATGCAGCTGTGACTATGGTGGTTGTAGAACATGACTCAAATTATTTAATGCCCCTCCCATTCTTTAATGCCTCTCCCCTTGAGAGGTGGTATTCTATGTATTACCCTTTTGAATCTGCTTCAACAACAGAGTGCAGCACAAGTGACTTCCATAGCTGGAACACTTGCCTGGGACCCCTGAGTCTCTGTGTACCAACCTCACACCCTGACTTGGTGGTGCTGAGAAGTCCAAGCCACAGAAAGAGGTCAAGTATAGGCACTCCAACTGACAGGCTCTGCTGAGCCTTCCTGAGTCCCTCTAGTCCAGGCACCAATGTTAGAATACAGAAGTCTCTCTCATTGTTAGAATAAAGATTCCTGCCTCTAGCTGTTCAAGTCTTCACAACTAAAGCTCCAGAAATTGTTGGACAAACACAGCTATCTCCACTGTGCCCTGTATGAATTCCTATTCCACAGACTCTTTCAGAATCACCAAAAAGGTTGGTTACACCACTAACAGTTACAGCAATTTGCTGTAATACAAACAGATTCCATCTCTCAATCCTAAGGGAAAAGCCAAGAGGGTCAGAGAGCTATTGACCTAGAACTCCAACACCCCTAACCCGCTGTACCACCCCTAACTCCAGACTTGTCCACATGTGAAATCACGCGTGTCTTTATTGCTTAAGCCACATCCCTAAAGTGACATCCCTTAAACCACATCCCTTAAAGACATCCCTAAGTGACACACCATGCTGTCCCTCAGTGACCCAGATTCAGGCTGGAATGCTCCTTTTCCCCATGAGCTGTGCATGGAAACTTACTGATCTTTCCTTTTCTGGCCTCTCCCCCTCCACACACTACCACCAGAATAATTCTCTAAAACACACTTCAATCCCATTATTTCCTTGTTTAAAATGTTCAAAGGCTCCCCATTACTTTGCAGGGGTTCGTAGTGACAGCAGGCAACAGAAGCCTGAGCATTCCATGCCCTCTCTGTCAAGTGTACGTGCAAACAACACCCAGGTAACTCTAATGGGCAAGCCTAGTTTCAAACCCTTGAGGCCTGGCCTCCCCTCCCCTTTCCCTCTATCCCAACAGAACATGAAGCTTCCTCTTCTGTGCCCTACTTTACTAACACTTTGTTGACACTTCTGTTACCATGTGACTTTTTAAATTTTTCTGTCACTCTCACCAGACAAGAAGTCACCAGAAGGCAAGACTCCTATCACACAGAAGGTTCTATCCCAGTACCTAGCACACTCTCTGGAAGATACTGGCATTCATGTCTTCCTATGATTAGATGAATGGATGAATGAATATAGAACAATAAACCCCTCATCTTCTGCCTTCTTAGGTATGTTCTGTTTTCCCTAAAACTATTCTCTCTCTCTCTCTCTCTCTCTCTCTCTCTCTCTCTCTCTCCAACTGAGCAAACAGACCAAGGAAAATTCAGACAACTGCAAATTAGACAGAAGTCTGAGGTTTATCATTTACTAGACCTCGGCTTGCCCAGCCAAGGAGGCCTGAAAACCCAAGGACCAATTCTCTTATCTGACAATCAAGAAGCTGGAGAAACCACTGGAGTTTCACAATGCAAAGCACATTTTGAAACCGTCCTGGTCCTGTAACTTCATCCACATCTTGCAAATGCCACTCTGACCACCTGTGATTTGAACTATTGGTCCTCAGCAAATAACCAAGTGTGACTTACTCACTAGAATGAGTCCAAAAGGCAGGTCTTATTACAAGAGTGCCTTCCCCAGAAACCGACTTAGCTAGATGCTGCAGGGAGTAGGGGGTGTATTCCTCAGTCACAAGCAAAAGGAAACCCTCTTCTTTCGCCAAATCCCATTACCTGGAATGTACTTTATTTCACTTTCAAGGATATTTCTAGACCATGGTCTATAAAATCAATTGAGTGGTTTACTTACTCAAAATACATTGGGGAATATGACAGTAAAAAGGACCAAAATTACTGCAGACATACTTAATGTATGTTAAGCATCATGCTAAGTACATCACATACTTTCTCATTTTATTGATTTTTTAGAGAGAAAGAAACTGATTTGTTGTCCACTTATTTATGCATTCATTGTTTAATTCTTATATGTGCCCTTATCAGGCATTGAACTCACAACTTTGGCATATCAGGACGACACTCTAACCAACTGAGCTACCTGGCCAGGGCTCATTCTATATTTATAATAATCAATAGGTAATACCACTATTCTTATTTTAGAAGAAACTGGGTTTTTTGAGCAATTAGACAACTTTCCCAAAGTTCAACAGCTAGTGATGGGCAGAGCTGAGATTTAGACCAGGATCTGCAAGGGGGCAAAGACTGTATGGTCTCTTTCCATGACTTTCTTGCTCTTACCTCTGCCCCACTCCAACATTTATCCTGTCTATGCTTTACCTAATGAGAAAGAAGGAACATTCACCTGTGCCCACACCAAGCACGTTCTGAGTGTTAGCTCCTTTAATCCCTAAAAATCTGTGAGGTGGATATTTTTCTCCCCATTTCACAGATAAACCTACTGAGGCTTAGAGAAGTTCAGGAATGTACTCAAGATCACAGCTCTTGGCAGATAAAAAATTAATTTCAAATATCATACTCTTGCCCTAGCCAGTTTGGCTCAATAGAGCGTCAGCCTGCAGACTGAAGGGTCCCGAGTTTGATTCTGGTCAAGGGCACGTGCTAGGGTTGCAGGCTCGATCCCCATTCGGAGGCATGCAGGAGGCAGCCAATCAATGGTTCCCTCTCATCAATGATGTTTCTCTCTCTTCCTTCCTCTCTCAAATCAATAAAAACATTTAAAAAAAAAAAATCATACTCTTCCACCGCACCATGCTGTCCCCTTCTCTACCCTAAATATGTATGATAGGGCTCCTTTTTTTCTAAATGATAGAATAGCATGTGACAAAGAAAACCCACCATCTCCCACCTCACAAGTAATATTGCCTCTCAGAGCCCCTCTGATGTATAATAAGAGAAGAGGCCAAACCACTGTCATTGGATAAGATCCCCTTTTCCTTATCCCTTGTTCCTTATTCCTTATCCCCTTTGATTAAGTTATTTAATGTATCTGGTTTCCCAAGGCAAGATCAGAAGGACAAGCTACAATGACATAAACATCTTCTGGAGTCCACTTTCACCAGTGAACAGACATATTCCCTTCATGATCCAGGGACATGTAGAACAATACTGAACTCACAAAACCCAAATGTTTGATCTCACTATGACTTCTCCACCTGAAGGACACACCCACCCATGGGGAAGGTGGGGATCTGTGGAATGTTCACAGCCAACTTCCCAATCAGGCCAGCACACGCTTACCTCCACTCACTCTTACACCTGCCTATTACACTCACACATGAACGGACCTGAACCGTCAAGCCTCACTCCACTCCATTTAGACAAGAACTAGAGGGTGGCTTTTCCAAATCCATAAACTACAGGGCGGGAAGCACCGCTTTCTCTTTGCAAAAGAACCCGATGCTTCTTGTCTTCTTTCCAAAAAATTTAAAGCCATAAAAAAGAAGCCATAGTATGATGGCAAAAACTTCAGTAACTGAACTGTCTGTGGTTTTGTTCTGTTGTTTTAACATATAATGATATATCTCAGATGCTACACTGAATGTAGGAGAAACATTATCCCATTTAATCCTAATAATAACCCTCTAGAGAATGACATTACTCATCCCAATCTACAGGTAAAGAAACCAAGCATGCTAAGAAGCATGCACAAGATCAACATCTGGTCAGAAGCAGAACTGAGATCTGAACCCAAGTTCACCTGACTCCTCAAGACACACTATGCCCCACAGCTTCCCAGCATTATTTACTACAGCACCTTCCCGACAAGGTCCTGCAAAATCAAAGAGCATGTGAAACTGTAGACATGGGCAATCCCTCTTGTCCCCTATTCAACTTCAAAAACATAAATTGGTGGTTTCTTGGTTTCTCTGTTATCACTAGAATTAAGTCAAAGGAACTGTGTTTTTGAAACAAATCTGACCTATATGAATCACAGGCCTTAAATGCAATGTGTTTTATACTCATGGCTGGACCCCATGATTGATCCTGTATTAAAATTATGTAATTTAGGCTGCCTCAAAAAATATATCACTAAAATGTTGTCATGTAGCCTAAAACTTTAAAAGCACCTCTTCAATCACATATAATTTACCTTGTGCTGAAGTTCTCCATAGATTAAAAATCCAAATCCTGCCCTTGCTGGTTTGGCTCAATGGACAGAGCATCAGTCTTTAGATTGAAAGGTCCCAGGTTCAATTCCGGCCAAGGGCACATTCCTGAGTTGCGGGCTTGATCCCCAATAGGGGGTGAGCAAGAGGCAGCCAATCAATGATTCTCTCTCATCATTGATGTTTCTCTCCCTCTCCCATCCTCTCTAAAAATCAATAAAATATTTTAAAAAATAAATAAATAAATAAAAATCCAAATCCACCCAAGTAAGTCTTTGAGAGATTCTCCTGGTATGTCTCAGTCGCACCACCCTTCTCCAGGGAAAGAGTGACTTTCTTTGCTACCCTGGAAAGATCTGAGGGGTTTTATTCTTTACTGAGGAAGCTACATTTTCTTATGTACACTTAGGAAAAGGCACTGGACAGCAGCCTACCTCAGAGAAGAATTCATCCATGAAGGCTGTGTTGTCAACGGCAATCTCGACCTCATCAGCATCATCATCCTGTGTCAGCTGCTTCTGGGAGAGACACAAAGGAACAGGTGAGACAAAAAAGCACAAGAGCTCGCTAACAGTGCTGGATGCTAACTAAGGGCCAGGAGATATAGCTGCCTTAATCACTTTACACATATAATCTCCTTGAAAACACAGGACAGCTCTGGGATGTGTCAAACTCCGAGGTCACCTGTCTGAATTTAAATCCTAGTTCCACCATTTGCTGATTTATGTTATTTATTTATTTTTATTTTTTTGCAGGGTGGGGTAGGCAGGGATGGGCAAGTTACCACCCTCACTGTACCTCAGTTTCCTTATCTGTGAAATGTTAATAAATCAATGAGATGATAAATATAAAACACTTTGGCACAGTGTCTGGCACAGTGCTCAATATCGCTAGGTTTGGTGGTGATGGCAGTTGGTGGTGGTGACATTACCAGTCAGAGAACCAAAAACAGAGAGGTTAAGTAACTTGACCAAAGACGCACAGGTAAAACGTGAAAACAGGCAGATTCTAGCCCATCAGGGACTTGGAGCCCATGTTCCAACCCTTTCTGCAGTGTTCAAATGCATGACCCACCCTACCAGGGACCTCTAACAGTTTCTAGCCACAATTCCTCTAAATACTAGTCGCAAATTCTCACTGTAGGAGTGAAGATTTGCCTGTTTTCTGAAACCACTTATTGCAAAGGAAATAACACTTTGTGTTGTTCCCTGTCAGTATTCATGTTTATAAGAAAAAGGAAGCTCTACCCCCAGCCACCTCCAGGGATCCCAGCTTTCTTAACCTTATTCAACTTCCTCTTAAAAGTCACTGAATGGCTATCTAAAGGAAGGGCTTCTCTGCCCACCAGTACCAAGGGCCTGAGCTTCTGCTAGGTTCTTCTCAAATTTTCTTCTCAGATCACTGCTGCATTGCACCCTGCCTATTTCCAAGCACAGACGAAGAACAGGGTGTTGGGGGGTGAAGGTGGGAGGGGTACACCCCCTACCCAGCTCCTTCACAACCTTCAGTGGCCTATGGCCTTGTAAGCCAGAACATGTCACTCGCAAACACTCAAAACTCCACAGGCAACGAGAGCCATTAGGGGGGTCTTCCCCAGCTATCATCTCCCTGATCTACAGCAGAAGATGGAGATATTGGGACTTCCCATCAAAATTTGGGGGCTCTCTAGACATTCAGGGAGTCTTTTTTGACTGGCGCCCCCATTATTTCATTTTGTGGCTCAACTGGAACCATCAGCCACCCAAGTTTAACAGCCACATTTACTCCATTCAAAGGAGTTAAATTTGAGGCGCTGCTACAGTCCCCACAATTACCTTCCTAAAACTAAAAACTGATCATGTCCTTCTGCTACTTAAAGTCATTCAATGACAGCTCACCTCCTAGGACTAATAGTCCCAATGCCTAACAGAGCATGGGGCCCTTTAAGATCAGGCCCCACCCACATTTCTCCCTCGGTGATGCACTCTCTAGGCCAGGCACTCTTGCATTTCCTGGACACATCACTCTTTCATATTGCTGAACTGTCACACAAGGACTTCCTCCTGAAATGCATTTGTCCAGTCGGCAAACTTTTACTTAGCCTTTAAAACCCAATCTCCAACAATCTTATCTGTCAACCTTACCTGACACTTCCCAGCACGCATAACTTAAAAGCTCCCTAAACTACTCCCAAAGCAGCCAACACACCCTACCGTTAATTACCCCTTCATTTATCTGTCCTTCCCTCACGGACTATAAACTTCTGCAGGGTCAGGGTTGCCCTATTATAATAGATCTTTTGAGTGTGTATGTGCCTGCCCAAAGCACCTTCCTTTGTGTAGATAGCCCTCATCTTTCCACATGATTCTGGGAAGGTTCTCAGTCATCACCCAGACTGCCTGAGGAATTTGAATTGTGAGGGGAACAGAGCACAGTCTAGATTTCTGCTAGATTCCCAGAGCTATCCTCGTTCTGTACTTCCCAAGCCACCCCCTGACTTAGAGCAGGTTCTCCAGACTTCCCCAGTGTTCTTTCAATGAGCAGAACCATATTATTCTAATATTTTTTAATTCATTTGGCCAGAATCAGCTTTTGTCACTTGCAATTAGAGCAACAAATGGTAGATCATAAAATTCAAGGAAGAGGGTCAATCTCACAGGTGACCTGTGTAACGTGGTTATCTGGAGTCATGTAGCACTGGGAACTACCACCAAGCTTCTGCAGAAGGGACTTAGCAGAGCCCAGGGCTGGGGCTCCTTCCCTTGTGACCAGCCATGACCTAACAGACCAAGAGGCCTCAGGGACCCCAGGGGCAAGGGAAGCACATGGTGCCCTTTATCTTCAGCCCACATGACTGAGCACAGCCAAGAAGAGAACTTCAGCATCTTTATCAAAGAATCAAGGGGTGTGGTAATAGAAACGCTCCAGTAGCTGCAACATTAGCCACAGTATTAAAAAACCAACGTATGTGAGAACCATGCGCCCAACCGCCCACTTCCTCTCCCACACCCTGACCCCAGCCCCCTGCTGCTTCTCCCACCAGGAGGTGGGAGATAATGGCAGTGACTTAGGCAGCACTAAGCTAGAACTGAGGACTTACCTCCTTCCTCACCTCTCAAATGTGTTCCAAAATTTGGTGAGGACAGCCAGGACCATGACCTCCTCTCTGAGCAGAAAGTGGAAAGAGTTCAGGGGCCCAGGTCTCAATATGAAGTAATTTAACCTGTGATTCCTCTCACTCAGCACTCACTGCCTTTCTCTCCACTGCCTTTCTCTACAATACTTAAGTCTATCAGACTCTTCATCAGCTCCTTTAATAAAAAAATACTTGCTACACAGAGCCACTGATAGGTGCTAGGTAGCCACAACACTACCGTAGTTGCTTTAGATAAACTATGCCAACAAAAGCCACCTAAATTCTGAATTGAGAACCTGCAGGTCAGAGAAGTTCTATGTTATTCAAGGTCTCCAGCTATTGGTTTTTAGAGTCGGGGCTCAATCTTAGGTTGTCTGTCCCATGCCCTTGCTTATTCCACTGCACCCTGCTCTAAGCAGCCTATCACCGAAGCAGCCAGGGGCCCAGGAGAGCAGCAGCCCAGCCCTGCAGAAAGCACCCTTGGAAGAGAGGAGCTATGGACATGTAACACTTGTCTCCGTTAAGCCTTGATTTTCTCACCAGGAAAGGAGCTTAGTTTTGCAATTGGCTTTTTGGAACCTCAGGACACCTCAGAAACCACCCAGGGAAGTAAGGGAAGGGGAGTCAAGCAGGTGGGTCCTCTCCCTCTGGTCAATCTGCATAACCTCACTTTTACCTGCTTTACACATTGGGGTTGGATATAACATTTCATATGAAGACAGATTCCTGTAGTTAAGAGAGGGAACAGATTCCTCTCTTAACAACAGTAAGAAAAAAGAAAGAAGAACGGAAGAAGGCAAGCTTAGCTAGCCAGCTGGGAAGTCACAGAAGTTAATGAATGGGTGGCTTTTAAGAAAAGAGAAGAACAGGGAGGGTCCTCCCTCCTCTCCAAGTTAAAACATGGCCGCAGGCCCGGCTGGTGTGGCTCAGTGGTTGAGTGCTGAACTGTGAACCAGGAGGTCATGGTTCGACTCCCAGTCAGGGTACAGAGTCAGGTTGCAGGCTTGATCCCCAGTATAGAGCATGCAGGAAGCAGCCAAACAATGATCCTCTCTCATCATTGATGTTTCTATCTCTCTCCTCTCCCTTCCTCTCTCTGAAATAAAGAAAAATATAATATAAAAAGAAAAAGGAAGCAAAAACACAGCTGCAAAGAGGTTAACCTCATCAGCAATTCCATGAGGATCCCTTACAAATCAGAAGAGCAAGACAGGGACAAAGAAAGAAAAGAAGTGACAAATAAAGAAAAAGGAAGCCTCCCAAATTAAGAGGATATGATTAAGAGGCTCCCTGATTCTCTGCCTGCCACAGGTGCTAGACCCCCGGAAGGCCAGAGGGTTTCAGCACAGACAGAAGGCCCAGGAGCTCTTGGGAAGTTTCAGGGTGATGAAAATAATGACAGAGGGGAAGGGACCAACAGTCTAAAGTAGAAAGGAACAACACTGGTCCTTAACTTCCCACAGCAGGGTATTAAAGGATTGTGGCTAGCGGGGGTGGGAGCCCTCCTGGCACAAGTGGATGATGACAAATTCTTGCTCCTCTTCCTCTCCATATTTAAACAGCTCTTTGCTTAGAAGATACATACTCTTCTTTTTAAACCCAGATTTTCTCCAAAACAAATTGATGCAAAGAGGCAATGGCATGATTTTCCTTGTCCCTGCTCCCCACTTTCCCCACCTGCCTTCCTCTAAGATAAGGGTCTATGGATTCAAAGATGAACGTCACCACTTCCAAAAATTCCAAACATACACACACACACACACACACACACACACACACACACACACACACACACAACACACTGCCCAACATCTGGTTTTTCCTGTCCCTCTTCTTTAATTAAAAGAAGCCAGAAATTCTGAGTAAGCCTGTCAGCTCTCAATAGGCACTCAGTGCTCTGTTCCCCATTTAAAGAGTCAGATGGCAGTTTTCCAACACCCAGTTCTCCCTCCTACACTGTTTTTTTCTCATTCGCTGAAACCCTCTCAGAGGGACCACTTCCCCTTTCCACTGAAAGGCATCTTCCCCAACACACTTGTAAGATGAATCAAGAAGAGACATACAGACAATGAACCCTAGGTGAGCCTCATACTTTTACTTTCCAGATGTTCTAGTGGAACATTTGGAAGCAAGAACCGGCCCTCTTTGGAAGATGAAGACACTGGGGAATTAATTCAATACCAAATCAGCCCAAGGCCAGCAAGTTGGTGGACGACTGGACAAAAACCAAAGTCCCTAATGACCCCACCCCATGCCTTCTGCCATAACAATCACTCTACTACACAATATATATGTGTTTGGTTGCAGACACTCTTGTGGTTTCAAATATATTATTGGTTCTCATGTCATCCCTAGGAGAGACAGATATTACTTTCTCCATTTACAGATGAGGTAATTACTTAA